TGGGGCTAACGCATACTAATCTTCATAGTTCGTCTTGTGCTAGTCATTATAGAGCCAAGAAACAAGAAATTGATGAAGGTAGTGAAGTAGTTATTCATATACAGCTATTAGTAATCAAACAACTCTTCATTTTTTGATCTTTCCAAGTATATCTTTCATCACTCGAGTCAAATCTGTACCGTAGGTTAAGCTCTCATTTTTTAAGCTTTACTTTAAAGGGTTGCTTCCCCTATACACTTCAAGCTTATATTTTTGTGTCTTGCCTTTAGCTTTTATCGATGTGCATGCATGGGCGGATCTAGGGACGGGCTGTAGCACAGCAATGCTACAGCCCGTCCCTTCAATCCAAATGTCCATTAAAAAAAAAATATTAAGTAAAATATTTTTTTTTATACGTATTAGCCCGTGTTGAATTTTTTCCTGAATCCGCCATTGTGTGCATGCTTGCGAGCTCGAATCAGCCTGTTTGGTAATCATGGTTAAGCATTTGCACATTTATCAGCTTTCTGAATTTTGGCTACAACCTCTTCAGTTTAAACATGATGTATATGATTTTAAGTATTCCATGTCCCTTTCAAGCATTACGAAGAACATAATTAACAATGTATTTGAAATCAACTTATATTTTAAATTAAAGTTAATAATTAATTTTAATTATATATTTTATGAGATTCATATCTTTTTAACTATATATTTTATTAACTTTAATCAAATTAAGATTCTAAATTTTAATCCCCACCAAACACAAACGATATGAAATAATACTAATAATCAATTGAAATAGGACTCGTATTTGGGAGTCTATAGCAAGGAAAGATCACTCTTCGTTGATCAAGAAGCTGTTGGACATTCGAAATCAGCTTAGAGGGTTGGAACTCGTTGACCATGCTGCTGTTGATAGGCTGTTCAGCTGGATAGCTTCTGGCCGATTTTGCATGGACAGTGCATACACAATTTTTTAAGCTGAAAGGGGAGAACATGTGCTGGACCAAGGAGATTTGGAGTGCTGGCTTTGAGCCTGGGCAAGAAGTATTTTTCGTGTAATTAAAGCTTCTAACAAATGATAAGTTGATGTATCTAAACATCTATAGGATGTGTCTTTTGTGATTCACATAGAAATAGGGAAGCACTTTTATTTTTCAATGTTTTTTGACTTCAATCATTTGAGGACAAATCAAAGGTTGGCTGGAAATGAAGAGGACAGTGACAACAATACTTAGTGCATTGCTGTGGATGAAGAAAGAAACTCGAAGCACATCTTGACAATCTAAAGTCAAAAGAATTGCATTTACCTACATGGTTTACCAAATTTGGATGGCACGAAATAGAATGATGATTGAGGATCTCAAAAAATGTATTGATAGCATTGTGAGACGAATTAAAACACATGTATATAAAGTTATGTACTATTCGTATCATAATGTTTTGATTCTTTTGAGTCTCTAGTTTTGGGTTGATAGATCTTTTGTTGTTTTTACATTTTTAATTTTTGATATATCGAGGATGCTCGATGTATTTGTAAGCTCCCGATTGGCTCCAATTAGTTTTAATTCCATTATATTTCATTTTTCTCTCTCCTATTTTCAATCACATAATTTTTCATAAAATAATATTATACGTAAATCGAAAATTTTTCTTTCTTTTTCAATCACTCATTTTTCAAAAAAATATTATTCCATCCATTTTCATTTCTCCAAATTGAGAGCCAAATGGGGGCTAAACGAGTAGTGATCAATTGAATTTATATTTTACCAATCAAAAAATAATCAATCAAAAGAGCCATAAAAGGGAAACAGAGATTCTCACGTAGACAGATAAGTGACTTCACTTAGCCACTGGCCGCGCGTGCCTCATTTAAAGGCGCTCTTCAGTTGACACGTGTCCTATAATCCTCTGCCATTTTACCCACCTAGTCTCTGTTCTGCCATTGCTTCCCTCTGTGCTACTTAACCCATGTACGCATCGTAGGGGTAGAAAATTGTAAGACACTCAAACTCAGTATGTTGGTCTGGTTTTGACAAAAAGCTACTAATAATTTTAGACAAACAGAGCTTAACGCCATAACCTTGTTTGGTTTGAGTTCAAATTTTAACATCAATTACTAATTCTGAACATATATTTCACAATTTTACAATACACATTTAATTAACTTTAATCAAATTTTATTAAGAATTTGATTTTAATCTACATCAAATAAGAATTTATTTTATTTTTTTATTTTTTAATTTGAGAAGAAACAAGAAGAAGGATTGTTCGACCCATTAAGGGCACCTAATGCGACAAGTCGACAACAAAATTACTTGTACATGATAATGCAAGGAAGTATAGTGAACTTATATGTAAAGTCAGTTTGGTACACATTAATGTAAAAATGAGAATGAAAAATATAATCGTTATGGGCTCCACATAAGAGATAGAAATTCAAATTTGATGACTTGTTGTGATGAATAACGATCGTATTTTTTATTTTAATGAAGAAAAAATAGGAATTAATCAAGTTATGTGCATATGGCATAAATAAATAATTAATTTTATTCAAACGAGAAATCCGGCGGTCAGAAGAGAATAGTCAAATAATTGCTACCCACGCTGCCCGACATCAAATCATCTTGTCGCTCGTTCCAATAATACCACAATTCTCTCTCCTCTCTCTTTGTTTATCTTCGTGGGCCAAGACTGGAGACACAAAATCCCAGAATGTCTTTTCTCTCTATGCTAACTTCATGGCCAAGACTACGGACACGAAAAGCGATAATCTCTCTCTAATTGGAAAAAATTGCAAAGGGGTCATTAACTTATTTGAATCGGATTTATTTAGTTCTCAACCAAAATTTAATTGTATTTTCAAGTTTCAAGGGTATTTTTTTTCTTCCATCATCGAGTTTTAAATATTTTTAAATAGTCATTATACTTTCAACCTTTATATCTCTTCCATCACACCAGCATTAGTCACAAAATCTTTAAGAATTTAATTTTTGTCATCCATCTCATCAGTGCTCTTGTTGACACCAACTTCTAGTTGAAATAGTACTAAAAAGAAAAAAAAAAGGTCGAACACATTCGGAGAAGTCATGGGTACTTAATTGGAGAACTTCAAAAATCCAATTCACTAGTGGCTTGCTTTATTTTTGGCTATGTGGTCACCATTGTTGGATTTTTAGATTTTTAACGCTCATTTACAAATGAGATTCTTCTAAATAGAATGAAAAAAAAAATCCAAAAGAAAATCGAGAGAGCACGAAAAAAATTGACCCATAAGGAGAAAAGTAGAATTCTAGGACACTCTTACGTCCTTGCACATGCTAATTTAAGGATTAAAATATTTTGTTTAAAGATTTGAGACTAAATTATTACAATATCTATAAAATGGGGACTAAGACTATAATCCTTCCATTTAAAGTTATCATCACAATCTTGACCTTAAAACATGACCACCATCAACTCATATCATAAATCATAATCACATACACCTAATACTCTTTCATTATTTTTGAGAGATGCTACACTTACATAAGCATTTGCATGAAATTTGGTCAGACAACACACAATATGAGATTTATTATCCACATGGAGCCCACCATTTGAGTAATCTAGTGAACTTCTATAGCCTCTATTTTGTACAAAGGGCAAAAGCCATTATTTTTTTCTCTGTTGGGATTAATTTATTATATAATGTAGGAAACACGAAAATGGTTGGAAAAAAATGATGATTATGAACATGTTTTAAAAGTTATTCGAAATCATTTTTTCAGCCTGGTCGTGAAGCTTATTCGGGGGATTTTTTTTTATTTGCACTACAATTTGCACTATCATTATTTATGTTTCTTCATCAAATTTAACATTTTTCCTTGTGACAATACTCAGTATCGACGAGTTGAGCGGATTATTGAAAGAATTAGAATGGAAATATTGGAGAATAAAGGTTTTTAGAGGGTGTTTGGTTGGGATTAAAATTAAATTTTTAATAGATTGTGATAGAAGTTTTTAAAATGTGTGATTGAAAGATTGCGAAATCCATGAAAAATATAATTAATATTCATTGTTTGATTTTAATTTAAATTAAAATCAGATTTTAATTTATACCAAACAAGCTCCGAGGACAAACACTACTAAAGCCAGAGGTTGAGAAGAAACTGTACAATAACCCTTTTAATGTGCAAGGAAATATTAAAAATTTATTTTTTAATTTTATTTTATAAACAAAATCCCAATTATTCTCTCTCTCAACCTTTATATAAATCCACATGTAAAAACATCCTTAAACCACTCTCTCTCAAAATCTTTGCTTCTTTCTTCATGGAAACCTTCCTCAGCACATCCACCTCACCGGAAACGCCAACCTCCCACGTAACACACCCACGAACGACATCAGAATCCAGCGAGTGGAGGATGGCAAGGCTTGGGACATCGGCACCGGAGCCGGAACAACTGGCTTGCGCTTGCCCCCGCTGCGAGTCAACCAACACGAAGTTCTGCTACTACAACAACTACAATCGGTCACAGCCCCGCCACTTTTGCAAGTCCTGCCGCCGATATTGGACGCGTGGTGGCTCGTTGCGCAACGTCCCCGTCGGCGGTGGTACCCGGAAATCAGCCTCCTCCCACAAGCGCTCCCACGCCATCTCCACCGCCGCCGTCCATATCACTACCACAAGCAGCTTGGTTACTAATGTAACGACTCGAGCTGAAAACCCTGTTGAGGTGAACGGGGTTTCCGTGGGTACAGGTTCGGGGTCGGGTTCTTTAATGAACTTGAACGATTCTGTTCTTCCAGAGACAGAGTGCTTGAGTTCTTGGTTTAGAGGGCAAATGGGTATGGATTGTGGGATTTTGCCTTTGAATGTAAATGAACCTGGGCCGAATTTGAGTTATGGGCTTGGTGTTTTGGACTGGCCCATGGAGGCAGTCGGCGGCGAACATGGTGGCGCCATCGCGACTGATGGTTCACCTAGTTGCGACACGTGGCAGATGAATGAGGCGGCCGAAGGTGATTGCTTTGCTTGGCCGGATCTCGCTATTTCTACATCCACAATAGGAAAAGGTCTCAATTGAACCCAGAAAAAAAAAAAGGAAAAATTATAAAAACGTGAAGGATAAAAGGGTTTGTTTTTGGTTTTGTAATTTCAGAGTAGTACTCTTGCTAGGGTTTAATGGAACAACTAGGTATGAGATTTTGGTAATGTACAAGATTAGACTGCATATGGTTTATAGGAGAGGCATCAGTGGATGAGATGCTGGTTCTATGGCCTCTATAGAGTTGTATTGTAAATGCCATGGGTTATGATGTTATAGTTTGGGTAATTGGCACAAACAATTTTATCGATTGTTCCTACTGTGCAAATCGTTTATATTATTTTACTTTAATGTTTTGACCCTTAGATTGGTCATTCTTTTTACAAATTATCCGTGACGTCTCATTCCAAGCAAACTCAAGATTGTCAAATAACTCAAGATTTGCACAGGAAACTCAATATCTGTTCAATATGCTCGACTTTTGCATAGCAAACTCAAAGATTGTCCAACAATTCGAGATCTGACCTACTAACTCTTATGGACAAATTTGATGTCATCTTGAACTCAAGATTTGTGTTGAGTAATGAATCTCGATTTTTGGCTTCAGTGTGTCTAACTTCGAATTTCCAAGAAAAGATGATCAATTAATATTTGACCAATTATCCTTGAACAAATCACATGAGTGGATTGCACGGAAAATTAACAGAATAAGTCGTCAGTGGTGATTTGCACAAAGAATGGTTGATTTGATGGTATAAAAGTAAAAAACGAAACAATAAATGCAACAAGGCAAAAAATATAGACGTTTTGTAACAATTTATCCATATAGTTTTTCAACACCATGAAAGATTAAGGCATTTCTTGGGAGCCCTTCTGATATTCTTGCAAGTTCCCAATGTTTTGTGATTATTATTTTTCCCTTTTATTGTTGGATTAGTGATCTAGGGATCACCTACATTAAACATGGTGCATGGAACAACTTTTAGGGCATGTTTGATTTGATCACTAGATACATTTCATAAATAATTCGCGATTTTGCATCAAGCATAATAGATAATTTGCGTCGAGCATATATAGAAGTGTATCAACATTGTTTTGTATCAGCATAATAGATAATTTGCATATATAGAAGTGTATCAACATTGTTTTGTATCAGCATAATAGATAATTTGCATATATAGGAGTGTATCAACATTGTAGTTTTAGTCATGTTTGTTGGTTCTTTAACTTCATGAATATGGATCCTCCGTTTAATAATAACACGAACATGCATCATATGGTTTGCATTTAATTTAATGTATATTGTAGTTTCAATTTTGTTTAGGTGTTCTTTACTCTCATGAGTATGGATCATCAATTAATAAAAAATTAACATTTGCCTAACAAGTTCACATTTAACTTGATTTGGATGAATAGAATTGGCTTGTACACTGAAGATACAAATCACGAACCACAAAAATAACTATAGATTATAATGTAACAATCTTTGATGAAAATAGGTTCTCATGAAAAATCTTTCAATATATACTTCGAGCAATGTTTTTGACTTTGTGTGCTTTCTTAGCTAGCAAGTTGAATAGCAATATGTACACAAATGTGATCAAATGATGAGAATAATGAAAGTCTATTATGAAGTGAGGTGCACAAATGTGACCTAAAAGGTGTTGGGCAACTCTACTACTAGTAGACCAATGAATGCTTTAAGACATGGAAGAGTTTTACCTTACAAAAGCCTAAAATGGTGCAGAATCTTCAAATTGAGGTTGATGTCCAAGTTCCAACTACAAATAGAAGATCTTGGATGACACACCACCGACCTTGGCCCATTTGATTGAAATTATGTACGAATCAATCAAACCTTATTTATGTACATAAATAATTTCGATAGACGATGACTAGATTTTGCATCATATTTCTACTTGCAGTTCTATTTCTGTCTTTGTGTCATCCACTTTGGACCCCTACACACCCCTAAAGGGTTCTTTCTTGCTGGTTTATTAATTTTGTTGGGACTTGCAATAATGAATTCTTAGGGTGGACTCTTCGACGGGCTAGGGTGAGCACGACATAATTTGATCTTAGACTTTTTTAAGAATTAGATTAGAATAGACCATCTAGAATTGAAAATTTTATATATGACACTATTTTGTTTTATGCGTAATGACAAAACTGAGTTAGACAGGACCCAGTCGATTTTAGTTCTATAATAATAATAATAATAATAATAATAATAATAATAATAATAATAATAAATATATATATATATAACACTAGTGAATTTATGACTTAAAGACTTGTGATAATCCAAAATATTGAACAATAAAAACATCCAATCCATAACTGCAACGACCCAATTGCAAGAGCGAAACTCTACCAACTGAATTATATCTTCGAGCCTAGTGGACGTGTCTGAAATAGTCAGATCTTTCTTCTATTTTTTTCCCTCTAGTGCAGTTGGACATTCTGGACTTGAACTAGCTAGAAACCTTGCCCGTGAAGTAAATAATCGTACATATGGTCTAACCAATTGGAAAATAATCAATAGATTTTTTTTTTGGGAGCAATTGGACGATATCACATAAAGATGCCCTGGGCATAAACACAAGATAATTCTTCAACCTTGACCACATTTTTGTGCTTGGATTGGGCTGCTTGTTGGACTTACATATCAAATCGTAACAGATCTGTTGATTTTTTGACTTGGATTGGGCTTGTGTATTTTGGACTCTTATGTAGCGATTTTATGCCATATTCAATTACGAAGAAAAAAGCTCATTTGGATTCTCATATGATTCAAATAGATAATGTTATTGTCTCACTCAACATAGTAATGTAAAGATTTGCTTGTCACAATATATCACAATATACTATGTTGAAATGTTGTTCAACATTCAAGAAAAAATAAAATGGGATGAATAAATATGAAGAAAAAGCCAAAAAAGGTATTAGATGTAAAACCTTGTTCTATGTTGCCGCATAGATTTATACTATGCAGTCGCATGGCCTATTGCAGGGAATTCTAGGGTCTCTTTGGGTTGTTATATGCTATCGTATAGATTTATACTATGCAGTCGTATAGTTATACAAAATTGATTGTTGAAGGTCGGTTTCCTATCGTTGCAACTCCAAATTGTGGTGGGTTTTCGACCCATTTTGGCACCAATTTGTGCACATTGGTGGTGGCCTATATATAGGTGATGCATTTCAAACCAAAAATAAGTGAGAAACATTTGTGGTCCATATTCATTCCAATATCAAAGATCAAATTCTTGATTCACATTCATACTCTTTTTTTCATTGTGTTTTTAAAGTTTTGGAGAGTTGCACTTGTGCTTTAGTGCTATATCCTTTACAATGCTTGATATAATCCTACGAACCGTTTGTCAAAATCCTTAAGCATCTCAATCAATCCCGATAGGAGACAAATATAGTTTGAAGACAACGAACTCACATTCGAGACTTCAATCTTTTTCTTATCAAGTTTTTGGTGTTAATTATTTTGTTGTTGCATTATTGTGATATTATTCTTGTCTCTACTTCATTTCTCTTCTATATTTTCCAACAATCTCAAACTATAATTATCCTGCAATAGAGAACGGAGACAACCATGGCGAACATCAAACTTATGAATCAAGATCTGGTTCGATTGGATCGGTTTGACGGGACAAACTTCATGCGGTGGCAAGACAAGTAGAAATTTCTATTAACAACATTGAAGATCTTCTACATTCTTGATCCAGATTTGGCGCCTTTGCCGGAACCAACAAATGGAGAAACCAAAGCAATCAAGGCCGAGAGTCAAAAAGGTCAAGAATATGAGTTGATTTGTTGTGGTTATATTTTGAATGCTTTGTCGGATCGCTTGTATGATCTGTATACCAATACTTATTTGGCAAAAGAAATTTGGAACACGTTGGAAAGTAAATACAAAGCGGAAGAGGAAGGTACAAAGAAGTTTTTGATTTCTAAATACTTTGATTTTAAATTCTTAGAAAATATTTTCCTTCTTCCCCAAATGCATGAGTTGCAAGTGATTTTCAACGAATTAAAGGCGATGAAGATTGAAATCCCAAAGACTTTTCAAATGTGGACTATAATTGCTAAACTCCCAGGGACTTGGAAAGGATACTGGAAGAAAATAATGTATAGTTCCGAAGATTATTTTTTGGAACAATTGCAAAAACATTTTCGGATTGAGGAAGAATCCCAATTACGTGACAAGAGTGAAAACTCTTTGGAAGGAACTTATAAGGCAAATGCTGTTGAAAAATTCGATCCACTTACAAAATCCAAAAAGAGGAAGCCTTCAATGACTTGAACAGGTCCAAGAAGAAGACTAAAGGATGGTGTTTTATTTGTGAAAAATCTTATCATTACGCTAAGGAGTGTAGATACCGAAAATAAAACAACTCCAAGGGTAAAGTGAATTCCATCCAAGAGGACAAAATTGTGGCCAACATAAGTGAAATAAATGCAATCAAAAGAAAAGTATCCAGGTGGTGGTATGATACTTGTACAATCATACATGTATCATATGATAAATCCTTGTTCAAAACATATCATAAGATGGATGGAAGCCAAAAGATTCAAATGGGTAACGAAGTGTGGTCCAAAGTACTTGGCAAGGGAAATGTTGATATTATCTTCATGTTCGGGAAAATCGTTACTCTAACAAATGTATTGCACGTTCCGGATATGAATCGGAACTTGGTTAGTGGAAATCTCTTAGGCAAATCGAGCATTAAAAGTGTATTCGAGTCTAAAAAACTTTTATTATCCCTTAACATGAAATTTGTTAAAAAATGCTATTCTTATGAAGAAATGGTCAAATTATGTACCATTCACAATGAATTGAATAAAACTGATTTTGCTTATATTGTGGATTTATTTTCATTATGGCATGCTAGATTAGGTCATGTTGGAATAAGTACCATGAAATGCATGAAAAATTGTGAATTGATCTCATATGATGGAAATAATGAAAGTAAATGTAAGATGTGTAGAATCTAAAATGATCAAAAAGCCTTATCATAGTATGAAAAGGACTTCTTACATTTTAGAGCTTATTCATACCGATATATGTGAAATGAATGGCATGGCATGTTAACTAGGGTGGAAATAGGTATTTTATTACTTTTATTGATGACTTTTTCTAGTTATATGAATGTTTACTTGATAAAGCATAAAAGTGAAGCTTTTGATATGTTTAAAGTATACAAAAACGAGTTGAAAATTATCTAGAAAAGAAAATTAAAACCTTAAAAAGTGATAGAGATGATGAATATTTTTCCAGCAATTTTAACTTGTTTTGTGAA